ATGGAACAAAGGATCAGAATGTTAGAGCCAGAATGTGCCTTAATGGTACTTTAAAGTTGCAAAGTACTTTACATAGGGTAACTCATTTGATCCAAACAACCCTGGGAGGTAGGGGCCATTATTAGCTCCATTTTAGAGATGAGAAAACTAAGGCTAGCAAAGACAAAGTCACTTGACCAGAATGACCCAGCTAACCAGCGTCTGAGGCAGTGTTAGAACTGTGGTCTTCCTGACTCCAAAATCAAACTCTATCCACAGTGCAATCTGTTTGCCTAGGGCCTGAGAGCCTATTTCAACCTTACCACTGTAACAATAACAATAACAACTTGATTTTACAGCCCTTTGGGATGCACAAAGCACTTCTCTGACAACAACCTTGTGAAGTAAGCCATTAGGTAAGTGATCCAGATTTTACCCATGAGAAATCTGAGCTCAGAAGTTAAGTGACTTCAAACAATAAATCAGTCAACACTTACTAAGCACCCTCGTGCCAGGCATTGTGCTAAGTGCTGGGGATACAAAAAGAGGTAAAAGGCAGAACTTACATTTTAATGGGGGAGACAACTCCAATATGTGTGACTCATCTAGAGTCATACAGTAAGACCAGAATTTGAGCCCACGGTCTAATATATTAAGACCTTAAAGATCCCAAGGTCTAGTCCATATTTTACCTCTTGACCCCTCTCCCCTTCAGAGGCCTAGAGAGGTCAGGTGTCATACAGCTGTAAAGTTTCACACCCAGATCCTCTAATTCCCTGATCCAACCTCTCTCCATGCCAAACTCCAGCTCCTTCCACAATAAGAAAACAGGCCCCCCCAGATAGTGACTTCCTGAAGGCCACACAACTTATTAGTGTAAGAAGAGAAACCAGAACTCACGTCTCCTGATTCCTCAGTCCAGGACTCTTTCCAACAGTGGTACAGAGGAGTCAAAAGGACTTGGGTTCAAATCCTCTGTGTCTGTGTGACCTTGGGCAAACCACTTAACCTCTCTAAGCCTGTTTCCTCATCTATAAAATGGAGTGGGGAGACTGAGTGACCTCTAAGGTCCCTTTCCCTATGGTTTTATAATCCTATTTGTTCTGATCTAGAGCATCACGATTCAGTGTTAAGACTCAAGATTTGGAAGTCAGAGGACCTTTCTACATAGATAGATCATTGGCCATAATGTAGTCCCCTGCTCATGAACAGGCAGAGAAATCCACGCTACTATGGGGAGCGTGCTGCCCTCAAGTGCAGAAGTGACAAGGCTAACCTGTCTCCAAAGAATTCGAGTTCTCAGCCCTGGTCCCCTGTTCTAGCTCTGCTGCTGGGTCATACTTTGCTCCCCTGGTAACCTTAGGCTTTATCTCTCTGGGCCTCAGTTTCCTCATCTATAGAATGGGGGGGAGGGGGAGCCGGAGTGGACTAGATGACCTCTAAGGTCATTTTTAGCTCTTAATTTTATGCCCAGCCAAAGCACAAAAGATCCTGCAAAGGATCAGCCACACTTGGAATTCCTCCCCTGTTCACGATATTGACTGCTCCGTGGCATTCTAATCCAGGTGACTCACAGTAGGCCAGCAAAGCTGCCCGAGGTGGGGACCTCCAACACCCCCTGCTGCAGCAATCTCTGCCTGGCAGCCTGGTGAGCAGAGAGGCTGATCAGGCCTTGCAGGTGGTCTCCATCTTAATGGCTTCCCTAATTCTGCAGATACCATAAGATGTTAAGCAGACGCCAAGGCAGCCGGCTGATATCTGATAGGCTTCACCCCAGCTGAGCATCTGCACCTGGACACAGTTCCTGTAGAAGCCAATGAAAACTCCGCCAGCATCAAGATCAGGTAAGAATGTCTGGGACTTTGGGTCATGGAAACGTGGTGGCTGAGCTGTGAAGGGACCACAAGTCTGGGTTGCCAGGACTCAACATTTCCACTGGCCTTCACTATGACCTTAGAACCAAGGCGGATGGATTGTGGAAAAAGAAGTACAATAAGACAGCTATAAAAGGTTGGAAGGCAGTCACCGGGCTCTTGCCTTGGGTTCCTGGGGCTACAGGAAGGTGGAATGAGATTGGAGCAGGATGGGTGGGGAGATGGTGTTAAATACTTGTTCATTCCAATCCTGACTTAAGTCTAAGGCTTATGTTTTCTCTACAGGCCTCAACTTTTCTAAATATTTCAAGAGGCGCTGATGCAGATTTATGAGAGCATGCTTCCAGGTTCGGTAAGGGCCCAAGTAAGGTGATTGTTTGCAAAATGGCCAGAGTGGACAAAGAAGCCCTCCTGTGCTTGACTAATTCCTGAGCTTTACATTCTTCCAGATTCTCAAAGAAAACCCTACACCACTACCCACCTCACCCACTGTTAACAAACACTTCCCAATTTTTGCCACCGACCAATTATTTGTGTTATTGCAAAAGGGAAAAAAAAAAGTTGGACAAAAGGAAAATTTTCTTTCTCAATACAAAAATATGGCAGTTCATCTAAAGTCCTGGTTTTTGTTAAAAAGCAACAGCTCAGACCTCAATCAGCTGAATGTTATGGACATACGGGTATTTTGGCAGAATGACCATCTGAATGGAAAGCTTGTGGTCCAGTGGCACCATACTAAGCAGTTGGTCTACAGGCAGGATTAGGGCTCAGTCTATGGTGTGGGTTGGGGCAGGGAGGAATCAATGTCTATGGCTGGAGGCCCTTTCTACAACAAGAATTCTTGAGTCAATTCATAACCACAGACAGTGACCATTCTGGGGCTAAGGAACAAAGCAAAGGGCGCTGGATCCAGGGTTACAGGACCAGAGTTCAAATCCTATCTGTGACACCACTTGCCTGACCTTGGAGAAGTGGCCTCCCTGGGCCTGCTTCCTCATCTGGACCACATGGTCTCTAAGGCCCCTGCCCACTATATCTAGAGTAGAGGGGTTAGCCCCCTTTTTTGTGTCATGGACCCATCTGGCAGTCCGGTGAAGCCCATGCACCCCACCTTCACAGATTAACGCTAATAAAATAAAAGCACACAGGACTACAAAGGAAACCAACGATGGTGAAGTTCAATTATCAAAACGTTTGTAAAACTAGGCCCACCGACCCAAGGTTAAGAAGCTCTGAGCCTAAGGTGCTAGACAGCTGGATGGACATATAGTAGTTCCCCATTCTTGAACAGTCAGAGAAACCCACACTACTACAGGGAATGCATGCCGTCCTGAAATACAGAAGTGACAAGACTAATAAGCTGCCTTCAGGGACTCTGACCTCCAGCACTGTCCCCTGTGTGGCACAGTCCTCCCTAGGCTAGGGTCAGCAGTCGGTCTCCAGGCAGGATTAGGGCTGAGTCAATGGCTAGAGATCAAGTCCACAGTTAAGGCTGAGGAGGCACCACGTCCATGACCAGAGGTCCTCTTTAGAACTAGAATCCTTGAGTCAATTTGTAGCCACAGCCAGTGACCAACTGGGCCAAGCTTCAAGGGAGGAGATTTTGACTTGATACCAGGAAGAAGTTTCTAATACGCAGAGCTGCCCACTCATGACGTGGGAGGCTTTCCTCATCCCTGAAAACATGTATGCTGCAACTGGTTCACCATTTGTCAGGGGTATTTTAAGGGTGGGTTCCTGTGTGGGGTGGGAGGTAAACCAAAGCACTTCCAACTCTAAGATGCTATGATTTTATGGCTAGGGTCAGAGGTCAGTCTGTGGCAGGGATTAGTGAACAGCTTATTAGCCTTTAGAGAGCTCAAACCCGGGGCTATGGCTCTAAATCACTGAGCCAACCATGCACAGATGTTCTTACAATAAATAACCATTCACCCACTTCATGCATCTACAATTCTGCAAACTTTCCTGGACAAGGGTTACTTCAGTTAACATTCACATCTTACTCCTTGCACTGGGACCTTGAATGGACAGTAGTTTCTCTGTCTGGGTTGCTTTAGCTCCACACCACATTTCTCTCCTACTACCTACCTACTTGTTGGAAGGTCTGCGAGTTGTGGTCAGTGAGCTAGGAAAGCCGCCCAGTATCAGATCTGGGCAAACTTCTTCACAGCTTCTGTGGATCTGAGCCCATAAACAGTGTGGGAGCTTTGGAAGATTTGTTTGGGGACAGAAAGGGGCGGGGGTGAAGTATTTCCTTGTCAAGCTCTACCAATCCAGCCTGCTGCCAAATTAATCATCCTTAAACACCATTTTTATTCTCTGTTCAAAAACCTTCATGGGCTCCCCACTGCCGACAGACTCCTAAAGCTGGCAGGCCCTCCAGGCCCTCCCAGTATTTCTCTCATCTCCCACTTCAGCCAGACAGGTGTCCTCCCTGCCCCTCAAACACATGGGTGTTTCCCTCATCCGTGTCTTTCCACCTCTCCTGGAATGCCCTTTCCATTTTCTTGATGACTCGCCAAGTCCAATCCCTGCTTCCAGGTTCAGCTTAAATCTCAGCTCCACGAAGCCTTCTGGAACCACTCGAGTGTACAGCCAGCACCTACAACTCACCTGGCACTTCTGATACACTGCCACCTTCTCATGTGTACATGTAACATCTCCCCCAGTGAGACTGTAAGCTCTGGGAGGGCAAGGAGGCGATAATCTTATGCTCTCTTTACCCCTCAAGGCGCCCAGGTCAGGATGGGATAGAGAATCAAGGCTCAGTGAATCTGACTGATATTCGCATGTGGCAAACTGAGGGGAGGTAGATAAGGAACGGAGGCAGCCCCCTTAACTGTCCTTCCCTCTTCTCTCCACTGAAGAAAACTCAGTGAATCCCAAAGCTGGCCCCTTCACCTCCTGCCCAGGCCCCACACTTCAGATGGGACCTGCGGGACAGGAGATGGGGGCGGAGGGCAGTAGGTGCAGGGGCTAGTCTGTGAAGTTTCTAGCTCCTGGACACTGTTCTCCCCACCACTCCCAATCCCCAGTCAGAATTTGGCTTCCGCCTGGAGGAGACCCGTCCTGCTGCCCCAAGTACGCTACGTGACCCCACGTTCTCCAGTGCAGTGCGCAAGGGGCCATCAACCCTGGCTGGCTTACCATGGACTCGCTGATGAGAAGAACCAGCAGAGCCTCCTCGATGTTGTCTTTTGGGCAGTAGAGACTGAAAGACACAAACCGAGTCCCTGCTCAGATGCCACCTCCTTAGCCCCAATCTGCTTCATCACTGAAAATGGGGTCAGCCCAGGACCCATCTCCCTCTGTCGCTCTCACATCAGTCCCTGGAAACATGAAGCATCTTTTGCATGATTCATAAGCTACCGGACACTATCTTCTGAGAAGCAGCTCTTTTTCTGAGAATCAAGCTCTTTTCAGTACCCCCCCATGACCAACTCCCAGACCCTTCCCATAGAGGAAAAATTGTCAGGTCTGAGACTGCAAATTGTCAAACAAGGGGTGAAATGTCCCTTCCCAAGACTGCAGGGACATCCTACAGGAGAGGAAGGAAGACTGTCTAACAGGCACTGACAAATTACGGGCTTTGGAAAATGCAGTCACATAGTCAACTTTCAATTATCTGTACTACGAGGAGAGGAGTGTCACAAATACTCCAGCAAAACAGGGGGTAATCCCAAGCAGCAGAAAGCCACCACATCCCTTGGCTGGCCTTAGAATGCATCATATGCTCATCCTCCACCCCTGCAGATGTTCTTGGCTTAAGCTGACCTGAAATTGAGTTTGCATCCTGAGTTCCCACCTGACTTACTTTAAGGGGCAGAGGGGTTGGGAAGGAGTCCATTTACAAACTAACTGGGTGACCTGGGGACTGCACTCTGAGCACAGATGACCTGCAGGATTGCAGGCGGGCTTGGCGGGAGCTAGTTTAGCTTTCTGGGGACAGGGTGAGCAGGACACGCGAGGGCTTACTTGTCTCCAGCGTAGAGATCGGGCTTCCTGAGAGGCTGGGTGATGAAGGAATTCTGTTCTTTGCCCATGAACTCTGGCAGAGGATGTGACAGGGGCCCCCAGTAGCAGTCCTCACTCAGGGAATGCAGGAGTATTCCCGCCAGCTGCTTCGCAGCCGTCTGCCAGAGAGAAGAGGCCAAGTCCAGCACTTCACCCACAATCAGTCCCTTCCAACACACATCTTTGTGACATCCTTTCTTCTCCAATCCCCCTGTGTCATTCATCGCACACTCTCCTTCAAGGCTCCACTCAACACCTATCTCCTATATGAAGTCCTCCTGGACTGCTCCAGTCCATACCCAGAACTCCTTCCCTTCTCCTATAGGCATTTCTATTCAACGCTGTCGTCTACCGTCTGCTGTAATTGTATGTCTAGGGATGTGGCCTCCCCAAAAAGACAAAACTCATTAAGGGTTGAGGCTATGAGGATATCACATAGGAATTTCTCACCCAGACAAGTCTCCATATCATCCCAGAGAGAAACCAGAGAGTTTCCTGGCTGCAAAGACACTTGTGAGCTCTGCCTCTGAGTGACCTCCTGAGGTCCAAGGGGACTAGCCTGCATGAGGCCCAAGGAGGAGAAGGCAGAGTAGCCAGGAACAAGCCCCCGGATGTCACAGCAGCCCCAAGAGCCTGAGGTCACTCCAGGGACAGAACTGCTCTACAGTCGCCCATGACCACGTGAGCAGCACACATACCCATGCATGCATGTGCACGCGCACACACACACACACACACACACACACACACACACACACACACACGCTCTCTCTCTCTGGCCTCCACAGGATTTCCTCATTACCACTTTGAAGTTCTGGGTGGCTCGAGTCTCCACAATCCGCAGGACTTCGCGCAGCTCACTCATGCCCTTCACGATGTCCCTGGTGGGAGAGCAGAAGCGATATCAATGGCCAGCCTCATCACACCCGAGAAAACTCCTTGAGCAAGGAGTTACTTTAGCTTGAGTTCCATTTGAAAACAGGATGGAGAGTAAATGTTTAAAAGGAAAAGGAGACGATCAGGAGCCCCAGTGACCCCAATAACTAGGTAAATTAGAGCAAACTTTCCACAAAGGCACCTGAAAAAGGCAAGCAAGACTGCTGGGTTTTTGTTTTCCTCAAAAAGACAGAGACTAGGGACAAAGATCCAGGCTTCCCAGGATAGGGTTACTTTAATTAGTATTTACCTCACTGAACTCCTGTGGGATTCAAAGGAGATAATCTACGTAAAGAGCTTGGCAAAAGCACCATATCAATGTTATTATTCCTAATAGCGATAGTTGAGATGTTACCATAGCTCGCCTATCCAGAGACTTCTCTGCCACTTCTTTGCCTCAGTGTGCCCAAGGTACACACAATACATTGGCAGCAACGAGGCGGGAGTCACTGAGAACTCTCCCCATCATCTTCACAAGGCAGCCCAGCGCACTGGAGAAGAGTTTGGGGCCTTGGAATTTGGGAGCTGTCAGTTCCAATCCTTCCTCTAATACTGCCTAGCTGTGTGCCATTGGGTAAGTTATTAAACGGGCCTCAGTATCATCACTATAAAACAGGGATGATAAGAATACCTTCACTGCACACTTACAAGTTTGCTTTCAAGACTCAATTAGGACAATGAAGGTAAAGGCAAACTGTATGAAAGCCATCATCATTCAGGCGTTTGCCTATCAACTGAACCAACCTACTAATTTTCCAATCTCTCCCTGTCTACTGGCCGCTTCTTTGCTGCTTTCAAGCGCACATATCCCAGCCCAGTCTCCCCCAGACTCAAAGTCAAAACAGAACAAAAAACTCTCACTTGATTTGCCTATGCCCACTAGCTTTCATCCTATACCTCTCCACCCTTGTATGGCTAACCTCCATGAGAAAGCCATTTCCAATTAAAGGATGCCTCCACTTCCTCTTCCCCCTTTATCTTCTAAACCTTCTGCAGTCTGGCTTCTGTCCTCAGCAATCCACTGCAAATGCTCTCGCTGATAGTATCCATGATTTCTTAACTGCCAAATCTAACAGCCTTTTTCAATCCTTCCCCTCCTTCACTATTCTGCAGCTGATTACCCTCTTCTCCTGGGTCTCTCCTTTCTAGGTTTTTTGTGACATGACAGTCACCTGGTTCTCCTCCTACTGGTCTACTGTCCAGGTTTGGCCCTTCTGTCTTTATAATACCCTCCCTTCCACTCTGACAGCCATCAACATGGCCCAGGTCCTGAGAAGCTCACATGAGAGCTACTGCGAGAGCCTTCTGATTGGGCACCCTGGCATAAGTTTCTTCCCACTCCAGAGAGAGAAGGTCACACAGATAACAAAATTTTCAAAGCAGCACTTTCTGTTGTGGATTATATTTAAATATATATTATTGACATGTGACATATGTAAATAATGTATTAAATATAATTATATATAAGTATATATGGGAATGTCTGAACAAATGTAGTATACAAAAGGAAAATTAATCCATCATAAGGAATGATCAATGAGAAATTCAGAGAGACACAGGAAGACCTGTATGAACTGAAATACAATGAAGAAAGTATAACCAGGAGAACAATATACAAAATGACTTAATAATGTGAATGAAGACAACACTAAAAACTAAATATGATGATCCATATTAGCTTCAAGAGATGTTAGAATACCCTTCTCTCTGTTAAGAGATGGCTGTCTATGGGTGCAAAATGAACATACTTTTTTACTCTGATGTCAGTTTTTCTTAACTGTTTTGGATTTTTTAAAAGTAAGTATTTACTATTTTTAAGCATTTTTAAAAGTATTTTAAGCATTTAAGTAATTATTAAATATTTAAGTATTTATTAAGTATTTTAAGTAGTAAGTATTTAAGTATAAGTATTTTTAAGTATTTAAGTATTTTTAAGTATTTTGAGTAAGGATTTAAGTATTTTAAAGTTTTTTTTAAGTCTTTAAGACAAGGTATATGGTGTGGTTAATTTACAAGTAATCACGGAATAAAACCCAAGACGCATTAATAAAAATGAAGAGCTGGTACATCTGAGCCAGTTGACAGAAAACATACACCACAGCCCTGCAGAAGCACAAGATGTCCCTAGCCCCGTGAGAATGACAATCTAAGACCGGGCTGTTCTGAGCTCTGTGAGGCCCCCAACTTGTCTCTGGACAGCACCTGTTGAAGCCATTAGGGCACAGCACAGGCTGAAGAAGGTCAGATAAAGGGAAATTCCCCACCTGGTCACCATCAGGTTAGGGGGAGAACAATCTTCTTTCAAAGTCTCCCAGGATGAAGAAGGAAGGGAGGGAGGAATATGGGAAAGGAAATGGTGGACCATGGGAACAGGCATGACATGAAAGCTGGAACAGCAAAGCCAAGTGATCAGAGAGCTCAAGCCAAGAAACTAAATGACCCTCCTGACCTCAACCCTCATGTTGTACAGGCCTGCTATGTAATGCAGCAGAAAGAGGGCTGGACCTGGGGGAGAGACCTGGGTCTATGACAGCTCCAAAATGGAGCTGTCACAACGGGCAAGTCACTTCATCTAATTGTGCCTCAGTTTTCTTGTTTGTATGATGAATATATTTAGAATTTACTTCAAGTGGATATGTGTATAATGCCTATAGTATCTCTAATAATAATAATAACCCATTTTTCTAGCACCTTGAAGCAGTGCTTTACATATGTTTCCTTACTGGATATTTCTGTATTAACCTGGCAACCATGAACATGATTTTAAAGATATCTTCATATCATATTTCAATATAATTGGCTCCCTTTTAAAGCCCATGTATTGAATTTTATACTTTTAAAAACATTCTTCCACGATGGGGTCCATAGGTTTCAGCCTGCCAGTGGAATTCATGACCCCCAAAAGTTAAGAACTCCAGTCCAACATAAATGGAAGCTCATTCATTCTCACAACCATTTTCTTCCTGGACTCTCCATCTATCTTTTCCCCAAAACATCATTTTCTCCTCCCTGCCCAACGAGGCTATGAAGAGGAAAGCTAACCCAGAAATGTGTGTGCAAGCATGTATATCCCATCACCAAACAGAAATGACTTGTGGGTTATCCAAGCTGCTGCTCTCAGAGAGATCATGAAGTACAAGGAACCTGGAGAAGTGAGGGCCTCTCCCTAGAGTGGAGAACCCACTGTGCCCTGCAGCACTGCCCTCCAGGCCCCCCCAAACAGGCCTCCTGCCACGGGCTCACTAGGCATATAGGTGAAGCCCACACTTCTGCGCAGCTGGATTCTTGAAGAGTTGAATGAAAACTGACTTCTGCTTTTAGGGTGCTGGAAGCCTAAAGTAGAGCCTTCTGTAAAGTAAATTATTACCTCTAATGAATTTGTGTAAACCTAGATGCTGAATTGCCCCAGCAGAAAAGAAGATCTTGAAGAGACAATTCTGTTTCTGTCTCTGTCTCCCCAAGGCTTAATAGAGTGCTTTGCACTCTATTTTTTCCAGTCAGTGCAAAGGCTAAAGAGGAGACGCGTAGGGGTAAGGAGGTAGAAGGCTCCAGTTCTACTACTGAAAGGATGAGTGAATTTTTGTGGACCACTGCTTCTCTCTGTGCCTCAGCTGGCCCCTCTGGGAAATGGAACGGCAAATATCCTAAACCACGGGTGGGGAACCTGCAGCCTTAAGGCCTCATGGGACCCTCTAGGTCCTCAAGTGTGGCCCTTTGAATCCAAACTTCACAGAACAAATCCCCTTATTTGTTCAAGGTTTAGGTTTAGGATTTAAACACTCAACAAAGGCCTGTTTGTTTGCTCATTCATTCGCTCATTCCCCCAAACACCTACCTCCCAGGGTGAATCAGTCGGGTTTTCCCAAGCTTTGCTCAGAGCTTGATGAGGCTTAGCTATGGCAATCCCGCCAAGTCCAGAGCTGCCAATGTCAGGTACAACCCCCAAGGCTCGTCAGAGCTTCCCTATGAGAGGCCTCACGTCAAAGATTTGTGTTCTCTGTCTGACCTTTCTGAGCAGAGCTGCCCATCCCTCACAGTTCTCCAAAAGGAACTCAAATAAGCACTGTATCAGAAACATAGGAAAAATTAGGGAGGGGGGGCTCAGGGGGGTAAGACATGATGCTCCCCCCTCCCCCAAAAAGCCAAGGCCTAAGTTTGAGAGGTCTCCTTGTTCCACAGAAGAGTCCTTCCTCTCTTTTTAAACCATGCAGATAACCTTTCTGGGAGAGCCTTCCTCGTTATTATTTCACTGAATCTTCATGACATTCACAAGAGACATTATCATCTCCATTTTACAGATGCGGGAGGCAGGGCCCTGGAAAGTAAAACCACTGGCCCAACATCAAACATCAAATTAGTGGCCAAGTAGGGACCAGCTACTTGTCAAAGGGAGGATTTCTGGTTTCCGTCTTAGGCCAGAAAGGCCTCATGGGAAAGAGAGGAGATCTGACTGTAGAGAAATCTGTTCTCCCTCTGCTGCCATTCTGAAATAATTCACAATCTTCACACCCATGCTCTTGCTGCTGTTTCTTCCTGGGACCTCCCTCAGAGCCTGAGGCCTCCTCTCAGCCCCACAGCTTTCTCAAGCTGGCATACCGATTTTATCAGCCATGTGCTGCTCCTGGGGCCTCCACTTGGGAAGTGGCCCAAGCCAGCCTTCCTTCCCCTCTCAGCCCTGTTCATGAATTCCAGGCTTCGGAACCATGCCCCCACACAGGCACTTCTCCTTCCTCCACCTTCCCTTACTTTTCAGCTCCTTTTTGTGTGCTCTTTTCCCCCTTTCAATATGAGCTCCTTGAGGGCAGGGACGGTCTCTTTTTCTCACATCTGTACTCCCAGCACTGTGCCTGGCACACAGTAAGCACTCAAAAAAATGTTTGTTGCCTTTCTTGGGATTCCAACTGAAAACTCTTCCTCAAAAGCATCCTATAGGGGGACAAGACAG